AAAGTTCATTATAAATTTAACAAGACAATGATAACTTTATAAAGTAATTTACACATTGATTTTTAAAATTTTACTTATTTTTAAACAAATGATATAATAGTGTATTATTTACTTCTATATCTTTGAATAATTCTACATTACTATGCATTTAGACAAATCATTTTTTAAAAAGTATTTTTATCATTCTTCTGTAAAATATAATGACTGTAAGAAGGTTGCATTATTAAAGTGCTCACTATTATCATTGTGATTACAAGTTTTCATTTTCCTCAGAACATTTATACTCAAAATTTTAAAACCCATGACCTGAACCAGAATTATTGTGAACAGCTAATCATTAGAGAGTTTTTCTTGAATCTGATATATTTGCAAGACCAATAAAAATCATATATGCATAAAATATATTTTTGCATATGTCTTTCCTTTACACTTCTTCTACAGTCTGACTAAAAAAGGAGATATTTGAGACAGCAATTATGTATCATTTTGATTTCTGATTATCTTCAAGCATTTGCACATTTTCAAATATTCTTGAATATATGAGAAAAATAAATATTTGCACATTCCGTTGTAGAGGAAGGGCTGCCGACTCAAAATTAGTAGAATTCAAAAAAATTGATATATGTGTCTAAGCTGTAGGTCAGTATCATAAGAGTAAAAGTTTGGAAATCAGATGATCCTAGATTTAAATACCTGCTCTGTCACCTTTGTTTGCACCATGGGACATTGGGCAAGTTATTTAATCTATTTTAGTATTACATTTTATCATTAAAGTCATAAAATAAAAATAAAACACAATCCATAGGCTAGTTGAACACTAAATGTAATAACACAGGAAATGCAGAAAACTGGACATCCAAAGGCCTGGGTAGGATTGATAGTTTATGCTCTGTTCACTATGGATCAGACACTTTATTTTTTAAATTTAATTTATTTTTCTCTTTATTTCTTCTAAAAATGTAGGGTACATGTGCAGAACATGCAGGTTTGTTACATATGTCTATGTCTGCCATGGTGGTTTTCTGCACCTATTTTTTTTTTAATTTGTGCAATTAATTCATCATATTCACTCGATGCCATGTACTGCTATAACCCATCCCCCAGTTTGAAAATAATGAAACTGAGGTACATAAATTTAAGTAACTTGCCTAAGGTCACATAAGTAGTAAGCCACAAAGCTGAGATTCAAACTCAGGCAATTTGAAGCCAGGACCTGTACTTCCAATCATACCACAACTCACTGGCAACCACAATAAAATAATCCCATGATGTTTAGTGTTTAGCCACACCACAGAGTAATGCAGCTCAATACAATGGAAACAGGGTAAGTTTTAGTGCCAAACAAATCAAATCTCTCTCTTTTGCATATATATGTATATATGTTCCCATTATTGCTCTCTTTTTACATATATGGTAAAAGATACATATATACATATACACACACATATATATATGAGTGAAATATTTTTTCTTATTTTCAAAATGGGGATGGGTTATAGCAGTACATGTTACTGAATGAGTATAATTAATTGCACAAATAAAGTGTCTGACCCACAGAGAACACTGCATAAACTACGCACTGTTTTTTGACAATAGAATAAAAAGCTTAGTTTTTATAACAGAAAAGGAAAAACAAATAATGCCTTATATTATTGATATGATAATTAAATAAAATAACATACCTAGTGCTTAGCATGATGCCTGATGTGCTTAATAAATAGTAGTTATTAGAGCAGGGATGAGTCTGCACCAAGACTTTTGCCTGGTGGCCCTTTTGAAAAAAGTTATATATAGTTAAAATATGATTTGGACTGGTAAAATATAGATTTTCATCTCCTTTCTATGGATTTAAAGGAAATGAAAGCAAGCCTATGCCTTAATGCTTTTTAGAAACACATTTTAAACAACTAAGATAAAGGAATACCAAGATATTATCTGATTTACAAATAATTGAAAATTCAAACATCAAAATTGAAGTTTCTTTTCTTGGGTTATATAAATACATCATGCACTAAAAATATTTCTTTTCATGTCCCTGTCTTCTTATGTTCTCCTAAGCTTCATTCACTGACTAAAATGACAACTAAATGATGCATCAGGACTAGAATTAATATTTCTCTGAATATGAATAAAACACATATTTCTAAACTGCAGAATCTTCCTGCTTTGTAATAATACATCTTCAATATATCCAACCTTGATACAAATCAAATCAGCTTTATCATATAACATATATATATCGACATATATAAAGGTAGTATCTAATATTTTATAAAGTTGGTTCATATATGATCTATCTATAGACATATACATAAAAATACCTCACATGTACATACTATAATATAATAAGTATGTGTAAGTTAAAATATTTGGATATAGCTCTGTCTTCATCCCATGAGAATAGAAAACCTGGGATAAAATTGGTATACAAAAAAATATTTTTAATGATTAACCTCATCTTACATTTCCTACTTGTAGTATCACCTACCTTTCATTGACACTTAATTTAGTTTCTCTAACTAAAATTATCATTCTGTAAAAGACAATATAGTAAGACTCCTATAAAATATTAAATGGGTTTTGGAAAGAAATAAGAAAAGTAGAATTATTAAAATGCTTTAGTCACAAAAGTGAGCATCTTTAATGATATAAGTCATTTTATCATGAAACACAACAACATTAATGATCAGAACCCAAACTAAAAATGGTATGTAGTTAATCAAGTATTCCCAAAGTCTGGATAGTTTGTGCTGCTTGGATAAAATAGATATGAGTGAATTTTTCAATTTCCCCGTGGGTGTTTGTCATCATGTCCATAAGGTAAACTACAAAGTGATAGTAAAGGTCTGTGTCTACCTATGGAAGTAAAGTGAAAAACTTGGATTATTCAAATACCATCTTCCTCTCCCAAATAATCTCGACATATTCTTTCATAAGTGAACATTGAAGAGTTTGGGCTTTTTGTGAGTGTATAGCCCACAGCCAAAACATTCCCATGTGATAGCACAAACCTCTAGGGGGTGCAATTAAAATATCTAGATTGTGTATTTTGTCATGTGGAGTGTAAATGACTAGGGAAAGCTTTTTCTCTTAAGAGAAGCTGATATTTAGGAAGTGCTATGTATATTTTTTTTCCTAAGAAAGCTTGAAAGATCTGTCCAGAGTGCTGACGAGGTTTCACGGGGAGAAGGCTGGAAATTGAGGGGTACACACTACTAACCCAATGAGATCAGGATGCAGTATTTTCAAGTCCCAAACCAATGGCCTTTTTAAATTGAAACAAACATGCATAAAGGACAGAAATAGCCACAATGGATTCTTACATGTGTAATTACATTGACGGAACTGAGAAATTAAAGGAGAAAACTCCCTGCACTCCATAAAGAAAACAGCAAAAAGCACACCTAACAATAGGTAGCATACCTGAACGCTCCATAGCTGACAGTAGAATGTCATGCAACTACAGCTTCCACAGAAAACCCCTGCTTATGTCCCACTGGAGGAAGGGCTGCACGTACTCCTGGTCAATGCACCTTTGGCTGCTTCAAATGGCCAGTGCCCAGCATTAGAGACACAAATTAGCTCTAGCTTTGTCCTGAGAAACTCTGAACAATGAAATACCATGTAGCGAAAAGAGAAGAAGGTGAAAAGGAGAAGCTGCCTTTTCACTGGTCTGTATCAATTGCTTATTGAAAAGTAAAGTGTTGGAGAACCTATCTGCGTGGTTACTCGATGTTACAGTCCAACTAAGGCAGCATCAAGATTGTGTCTAAATAAGCACAAGCGCTTGTTATCCTTTCCTAAATCTCCCTTCCACACAGCAACTCCTCTGAAGGGAAATGAGGGCAGCTGTAAATTCAAGTACCAGCTGAAAGAGCGTTCCAGGTGGACCTGTCACTTTCCTGGAGAGGTCCTAATGCATGTTAGGCTCGGGTCACCGGCTAGCCTCCACACTCAAGGGCCTGCCCTGGGTTTTCTTCCCTAAGTCGCTGTAGCCTGGGCTTCCTCGTTGGCATGCTGATCATGCTCCCGCCGTGGGATAACTAGCAGGCTTTGTGTTCGAGGGGAAAGACAAATCCATGGAAGAGGAAAGAGCGGGAGGGCTCAGGCTGGTGTTCAAAGAGAGGCAATATAGCCTGAGTGAAAGAGATGTGCTTTCAGCACCACCCGCTGTCCCCCCTCTTCCTGCAGCAGGCGCCAGGATGCCACCGCTAACCGATCTATTGAAAAGCAATTCTCTGTCCTCTTTCCCTCTCCACCTTTGCTTCTCACAATTCCGAGCCCTCGGGTGGTTTGCGGGAGCACACTCTGCATTCGAAACCACGCGCACCTGGCCTTAGAGAGCGGGAACTTGGATGCGAAGGCATGCAGAATCCCCTTTTCAACCCTTGCAGCTCTTGCCTCCTTCACCCCATTGCTCGCGCCTTTTTCCCCAACAGGTTTAATTAAGGCTGTTCGCAAATGGAGTAGACTTGAATCTTGTCGGCTTTGGCCACCCCCGCTCCACCCGCGTCCCCCTCCCCCAATAAAACTATGAGCTACTCAGCAAGCTTATAGATCCTAAATCCTTCTCTGGCCAGGGAACATTTGGGCACACAGACACTTAGCAAGCTTACCCCCCTGTTGGCTGCGCAGCGAGCAGTGAGACTCGGTCTAGCTAGCCCCCCGAAAAGTTGGGCCACAGGGATCAGCGGGGCAGAGCCGGCCTCTCCAGTCCCCGGCTTCCCCCCCAAGATGATCTCAAGCTCATCCCCTCCGCTCAGCGTGCGCAGAACAGCCGAGCTGAGGGCGGCGTGTGCAGCAATCTCCCCGCTACTGAGAAAGGGGGGAAGGGGGGAAGGGGAGAGAGCGGAGGAGGGAGGGGTGGTAGTTTGTATTTATAGAGAAGAGTTCTTTGCGCAACTTTTTGGTGCCACCAAGTGGCACAGTGAGTTCCTTTAGGAACACAGACTCCTGGGTGAATCTGGATGGGTAGACCAGCTCTGCAAACAGATGCTCACATGGCAAGGGAGTTGGAGGCACTCCCAGGACTTAGTTTTCACATGTTTACCGTCATATCTCAGCACCTGGGACACAGATCCCTAAATTCTAAGAATAAGCCTGTATTGAGTGAGAAAGGGCACCTGTGCCTTCCTCAGACAGGTGGAAGGAGTGTCAAGGACATGGTAAGTCCCAGTTGACTCCTAGGAGTATAGACATCCTTGTCTCAGAAGGAATATCCATTATCTTCTTCTTCCTAACCCCTCTGCCCAGATTACATTGCATTTATGTTTTACTCTAAAACCTTCTTTTTGCTGCCCTGACTACCTAACCTTTAAACTGGATTGGCACTTATTTTCCTTGCCACCAAACCTTCCTCAATGCTAACCTTAAAAATAGCGTATGACTTTAGACTGGATCTGAACATTTCTAAACAGCTCTCAGAACTCCAAGTTCACTGAGCTGCAGGCTGGAGGTCGGATTTTCCTCAGTCATTTCCAGAGCCCTCTCAGCATGCATTATCCTGACAGCACAGTCAGGATCTTGCCAACTGCCTTTAGTACTTTGAGGAAGAATCCCCTGAAGCTTCCTTTATCCATATTTTATGAGTGTTCTTACTTCTTAGTATGCAGATCTTCAAACACATACATCAACACTACTGCATGGGACCTTCATGTCCCCAAATGCAGAATATCCTCTACATTGTTCAGTAGAGAAACTGAGTACATGAAGGTTAAGGGGCTTGTTCAAGGTCATGTTTTTCTAGAGATTAGTCCAGGAACTACCTAGGGTAGAACTGAATGAACGCAGTGATGCCAAACCCGATCACCCTGTTCTTGTTCTTTCTACTACCCCACTCAGCCCATTCAGTCATATTCAGCTCCCTTCTCTTCCCTCTATTCATTTATTTCGTTCTTTCGTTACCTCTCTCTCTCTCTCTCTCTCTCTCTCTCTGTGTGTGTGTGTGTGTGTGTGTTTGTGTGTGTGTGATTATCCTCTGCCAAAGTTCCATACAGGCACGAAGAGTAAACATGTCTTCCCGGCTCCACTGGGAGTATATGAACTTGAGTTTATAGGTCCAGAGTTGCAGGTGCACCATCTTTACATGACCCACAGTTCTAGAAAACCTCTCCCTCCTAGTACTGTAGTCCTTTTAGAAATGGAACACTGACATTTACACCCAATAGGGTCCCTTCTTCTCTGCCTCTTTTTGGGGTGAAGCACCAACAACTGCCCTTATTAGCTCCCCCAAACACCTAATGGGCTCAAAGATAGAGGAGCCCCTCTCCCTTCCTAAATCCATGCCTTTCGTGCACATGTATCGGTATGACAGACACACACACACACACACACACACAGAGAGAGAGAGAGAGAGAGAGAGATCCAAACGTATCCTTTGGCTCGGATCTTTATTTTTTCCTCCTCTGATTTTTTTTTAGTTCGTTTTCTATGGAAACAAGCCCACTTAAATCCCTCACTTATGCAAATAAAAGCAAAATGATCTTCATAAACCTCCCATTGGAGCTATGCCGCGGTAGCCCAGGCTCCTGACTTAAATTTATGTCTGATTCACACAGCACACGTCCTTGCAGGGTGACTTTTCTAAACTTGCAGGACCTCCTAGTGTTCCTGGCTCCACCAGTCCTCCACCTGCCCACCACCTGCCCTCCTGGGTCTTTTAAGCCCCAGCTCCCGCCCCTCGCCTGATCGCTCTCCATCCCTGCACTGGGGGAGGGGCTCCAGCGGTATCCTATATCCGTGGTAACTACAGCTAAGAGAAAGAAAAAGGCGCTGTGCTTACCAGGTGCGCGCTCTGAGCCTTGCGCCCCCAGGCAGCCGCTCCTCGAGGGCTTCCTGCGCTCTCGTAGCGGCCTTGGCTGCAGCTGGAGCGCTAGTGTCGGCGATGGAGGCAGCGGTGACAGCAGGCAGAACGGCTGCGGGGCCCGCGGCGGTGGCGCTCGCTCTCTCGCGCCAGCGCCGGGAGCACGTGCCGCGCTCGAGCAGACGCAGCTGGAAGCGCAGCGCAGGACTGGTTTATACTCCCGCAGCGCGCGGCGGGGGTTGGCAGAACCGCCAAGGCATAGACTCAGTGGGTGAATAAGGGTCTTAAAGCCTCGTATTTTTGGGGTTCAGGCGAGGGTAGCCTTGGGCTCCCTCTCCTGCTCCTCACGTTCCTTCTGAGAGCCATGGGAGGAGGAAAGCTGTGCGGGGGAGGCGTGGGTGGTGTGTCACTCAGAGAGAAGCTGGGGGAGCAGGTAGATAATAAGGTTCTCTTTGACTATGGCACTTAAATCCCTGACAATGATTGGGAGAAGGGGCGTCACTGCTGGAGGGTAGAGAGAGCTAGGAAGTCAGGGAACCCCGTGATGATTCAGAGGTGTGAGTGGTTAGAGAGAACGGCCTCTAATGATGTTACTTATTAATAATACCATTTTGCATTTGTCTGCACTTTTTACAAACGATTCTTCCTACATCCGTTAAAATTTATTCTTCGTTGGCAGTTGAATGTCTTAATGTCTTTACTTTCTCAAACGACTTTGCTTCCCTTCCTTCACCACCCCCATAACTGCCCAGGATTGTCAGATATGCTGAGATTATCTTTAAATACAAAAACAGACTTCATTTCTGCCTCTGAAAAGGAATTGGTATAAATTACTTGCATGGCTTAAAGAAAAGAAAGACATTGCAGTATTATTATTATTATTATTATTATTATTTCCATTGTATTTTCCTAACTGAATTTTGGGAACCAGGTGCTTGCAGCAGCTGGGTCAAAGATTAAAAGATGAGTGCACTAAAGTCAAGGGGATTGTTGCTGATGCATTCATTACTAATGCTCATTAGATTTTCCACCAGACCCTTGTCAATAAGGTAAGTTATAGTTTGATAGCTTCAGGATTTAACAACAAGAAAAAGAAAGAGATCTATCTACCACCACACCTTGTTGAGTTTTACAACAGCATCTTTCTTCTTGCATTTTCATGTCTACTGATGAGATCATTGTTACTTTTTGTATTTCTTTGATTGCAATTCACAAAACAAGTTTTAGTCTTTGGAGAGAGGCCAGGAAAGCTGTGAGTGAGCTTCCTTAATTAAACAAACAAACAAACAAAAAATAAGTGGCCGGGCGCAGTGGCTGACCCCTGTAATCCCAGCACTTTGGGAGGCCGAGGCGGGAGGATCATGACGTCAGGAGATCAAGACTATCCTGGCTAACACGGTGAAACCCCGTCTCTACTAAAAATACAAAAAATTAGCTGGACGTGGTGGCGGGTGCCTGTAGTCCCAGCTACTCGGGAGGCTGAGGGAGGAGAATCACGTGAACCCAGGAGGTGGAGCTTGCAATGAGTCGAGATCACTCCCACTGCACACTCCAGCCTGGGTACCAGAGCGAGACTCCGTCTCAAAAAAAAAAAAAAAAAAAAAAAAAAAAAAAAAAAAAGAAAGATGGCATAGATGAGAAAATAGAAAGATGGCATAGGTGAGGAAATACAAAAAATTTTTTTTTTTTTGTATTTTTTTGTGAGTTCGCAAGAAAATGGAGGGTAACATGACTAGATGATTCTGGTGATGTGATTAAGTCCGATGAATAAAGTGATTTGTTTATCCAATTCTGAGGCATTAACAATAAAGATAAGGTCAAATTTGGGTCATTGTATGAGACATTTAGCTTTCAGTGAGCATGGGGCACTCCAAGCTCCCAGTTTTTCTCCATCAGTTGGAGCTGGATCAAAATACATTAGTGAATGGGAAAGAAGGAGTTACCATGTTGGCCACTCAGTCACTTAAACTCTTCAATTTCCTACACATATTTCCTTCTCACCTGTCTCCCAGTTCTATGACAAGAGTGGGATGACATGACATGTCAAAGCATGTCAAAAAAATGACAAAGCACTCCATGAATGTAATACCTGCTTATCAATACATATCGACTTCCTATGCTCTAAAAGCTAAAATGTGAAGGACATTCTCCATGTTGAGCAATAGCAAAATTTTCAGATGAAAAGGAAAACATTATTATATAATCTTAAAATTGCTCAGTGACATTTTAAAATATAGCTTCATCTCCTAATTGTAAAGTGCTGAATTAGGCAAAACTAAAATTAAAAGGAATATAGAAACAATGTTTTACATCTCAATAGTAAGTTCTGATTATAAATTGCTCAAAAGTATAACTTTTGCCTTAGGATGAGCTATTAATGAACAAAATCTTTTAATTCTTATGTAGAACAGTAGAAAAAAAGGACTGGAAAACTCATTCATTCTCAGAATTCATAAAGCTTAAAACTTGAAATCTCCATTCATTTCTGTCCTTTCCTATATGTGAGAATTTGTTATGAAATACTGTTAGCTCTGCCTTTAAAATATATCCTAGAATCTTACCACTTCTAACCACCTTCAGAGAGACCATGTTGAATCCATCAACTATCAACTTTTACCTACCTTACAGGGATAAATTCCAAACTAGTACAGGCTATATTCAGCACAGCATCCAGAGTGATCTTTTAAAGAATTTATCTTAAATCAAATTCCTCCAGTAACTTCTGGTTTCACTGAGTAAAAACCTAAGTCCTCTCAATAAATATTTAGAATATTTAAATGAATATTTATGATAATAGAGGTATAGCTGTTATACGCTGCCCTTCATTGTACAAGTTGGCAACACTGATGGTAAATCATGTGAATGTTTGCAGGAGGTCTGAAAGACTACTGAGTGACAGCACCTTTTCCTAATATGGGCACACTTACCCACCTCTTACATTGTTTTTGCTCTTGTGATTCTCAGACTTAGCTAGCTTATGTTCTAGACTTCAAGGGGGTTATAAAAATTCTAAATGTTTTGCAAGTATGTGGTTATCTGAGCTCATTAAATGAAAGATTACAAGTGGCTTAAAAATTTCTGAATGTTTTTATTTAATGAACTCATTAAACATCTATTATTGCTATTATTTTTTGCCAGTTACTGTACAAAGCACTATAATAGAATCATACACAAAATATTAATATATACTTGCTTGGCCTTAGAAAACTTAAAGTTATTACATATGTGTGTGAGTGCATATATGTTTAAATTTATTCATTCATGCCATTTATTAAATACTTATTAAACTATCATGTACCAGGAATGGCTAGGTGTTGGGGATGCAATGATGTATGAAATAGAATTCATCTCCTGTCCTTGTGAGGCTTAAAGTAAGGAACACATTAATAAATTAACTAATGTGTCACAATTTTTGGGAAATACAATGAAGAACAAGGTACAGTGATAAGGAATAGTAGGGCATGAGGAGGGGAACTGGTATCTTGTTTTGATTGGACATTAAAAATAATTCTAAGACAGAAATATTAAATCAAGACCTAAAAAGTATATTATGCAAAATATGTGACATGTCTCTATTTCTGTTTGAGTTAAGAGGTGTGATCAACAAGGGGTGGCTGATTAAAGAGTGGGAAGAAAATTAAGGGGGTTTACAGGCAGAGGGAACAATATGTGGAAGCTCTGAGGCAGAACAACATTTGCCAAGCTTTAGAAACTGAAAAGACATCGGGGTAAATGAAGTAGAGCTTGACAAACCTTAGCTATATCTCAGCTTGTTCAACTCCCAAATGAGGGTAATTTTATCTAATTTTGTTTACTAAATTTAATCTGCCAACTTTCTAGATGTGAATGAGGCAATTATATATGTTATTAAGAATGGAAAATGAAAACCATGCAGAAAAAGGAAATGACAAATACTCCTATCATATTGACTAAAGTGGTTTACCAGAAAATATTTAGTTATATCATTATCTAAGAAATTTAGTCTGTTCATAGAAAGAATTTTATTATTGCTGCTGTTACTAAATGATAGTACTATTATATAGACCCTTATATACATGGTCCCTAAAAACTCGATATCTTCAGCAAGGATTTTATAGCAAAACTAGGAAGCTTTTTTATATTATGCACTCTTATATAAAGCGTCAATTTAAGATCTAGACAAACCATGGAAATTTAACTCAAGTTGTTATTTATGAATCCATGTTTATTCATCTTTCTATTCTTCACGGAGGACAGACCTAGAAATGTAACCCTGTGAATTAATTTTTGTTATGATACTTGGTAAAAAATACAGTAAGAAAAGTATTTAGCCCTTTAGTGCTTTGGAACTACAACTCCTTTAGACAGTGTTTTCCAAGACGAAGTCCTCTGTCCAAGCAGACTCTTGGCACATGTATGGCAAACACAGAGATATTCCTCTTCACTCTGTGCGCACAAAACATAGTGTGTGTGTGTATGTTTAACTGTCTCATCACAAGGGGCAAAGGACTTCCCTTATATCCCAGGTGAAGACATAGAACACTCATCCAAGGGTATAGCAGAATGTCCCTGGGATTTCGGTCCTAACAGATTGCATTTGGAAACTGAATTTTGGCTCTTTCTTGAGTAGGGGACTTGGACAAGCTACTGAACCTTGGAACCTTCTTTCCTTATCTGGAAATGGAAAAATCAAAAAGGTAATGTAAAAAATATCTAATTATCTTTGTTATACACAAAGTCACTCTGGAAATCAAAAGTGCTATAAAGTCTCAGCAAATCGCGGTCCTTTTTTTCCTCACATTTCCTCACAATATGACTCTCTTGTTCCAGTACAATGTGATGTGTCGGCAAGAATTTGAATAATGGTGTTGGATTACTAGAAACGGTCATACTTAAGAAAAGAAAATCCCTCTCTAAATTCTATTTTTATGTTGACAGGAAATTTCTTGTTTTCTTTCTCTAAAATGTGAATAATAGTACCTATGTAGAGATTGCTGCTAAGATAAACAATAATAGATATGAAGCAATTATACAGTCCTTGAAATGTGGCAGATACAGGGCATTTGGTGATGGTGATGATGATGATGATGATGATGGGAATGAGGATTAGTTTATTTTAATTTCCAATTATTTACATCCCACATTAGCATGGCCAATATACTAAACATAGCCTGGGACATAAAGTCTACTTTTTAAGATACTTGTAAATTTCAAAACTACTTTCTAGTCTAGTAGAGCTCATCTCTTTGTAAATATATTTAAATTATAAGACCAGGTCTTGTAGTAATTCTTCATCAATATTTTTGGCAAAGATAGTAAAATTTTTCACTTACAATAAAAAATAGGTTAAGTAAAATGGCAGCAGCAGCAGCATTCTAAACTGCATGTAAATGAACAAGTAAGGGTATACAGAAGTTTTTATCCTTCCAAACAGAACCTCAGACTCATTGCTTAATAGAATTCCTGGGAATTATAAGAGACAATTATGCCATTAATGGCTTAGATATAGCTGTTGCAACTATTTATAATGCATTTAGTCTTGAGGATTCTAAGCCACCTGAAATCTAATGTTATGTTTAGCACACTATAACTCTAGTGATTTGGGAGATTTATGTTGTTTTTCAGTGTTACATTTCCTAGAAGCAATTCATTGAGCTAAAGCCAGTAATTATTTTAAATCATGTAGTAAGCAATGAAAGCCAGAATTTTGAAAATTGGTGAGGTGAGTGCTTCTTTATGTTACTATATGTTTGCTTTTTATACTTCTTTAAGATTCAGTAAGAATGTTGAGCTGGGCTAGACACACAGATCTATCAGAAACATTGATGGATAGACTAAGAGCCAATGTGCTTGTTGAAGAGGTAAATCGTTCAGTTCTCTTTCTTAGCGTTTTTATCTGTAAAATGGGGGGGGTGGGGAATGCTAGTTCCATGAGTTAGTTGTGAAGATTAAATTAGTTACACTTGCAAAGTGCAGAGCTTGGTACATGGTGAGCATTTAACACACTCTGTAGCACATGAGTAAAAGCATGATTTCTGAAGCCAATCTGCATGGATTTGACACTTGTCTGTGTTGCTTGTTGCTTACTAGTTGTGTATTGACTATTTAAGTTTTCTGTACCTTAGTTTATTTATTCATAAGTAGAGAGAAAGACAACTACTTCATAAAGCCATTGTTAGTATTAACTGTTAACTCCTGCTAAGCCATTAGAACAGTGCCTTGCTAATGGCAAACATACAATGTTAGTTATTAGCTTATAATAATTTAGTAAGCACTTTAGATCCAGTCATCATTCAACTTAAATGAGTCCTATCATCAAATTGAACCTGATAATTCAAGTCCCAGGAACTAGGAAACACTGGGCTTTATAAACCTTATGTTGGAATGAATATCTTCAGAATATTCAGAAAGAGTAGAAGTTCTCATGAATCTCTAATTCCCCTTTATCCCTTTTATCATGACTCTTTATCATTTTGAAAGACATTTAATATTAATCTCCTTTTTTTCCTCTAATGAATGCATGTTTACCTTTCAAGATTAACTCCAGTGAAACACTGCCCAACTCCCTTGAAAGACTGGACATCATTTCTTTCAGCTACCGTAGAACTTTGCTAAAAAGTCCTAGTGTAAGATGTATCATATTATATGGCAATTATTTATTAGGTTCCTGCCTCATCAGGTTGCCTTATATAATGCAAACTCTTCTTAGGCATTTTATTGTATGCATTCTCTGTACTGCCTATTGCGTTTAGCATGTAGTGGTTAACAAACACACTTTTAATGAATAAATTAATGTGTTCTAGCAATCAATCCAGATTTTCACAAGCTAGATTCTAAAGTAGCATAAACGAGTTCAGATACATAGACTTTTTAGTGCAAGGATTCTGAACTTTGGCTACATGTTAGAATCACGTGGGAGATCTTTTAAAACCACTGACTTATTTGATATCAGGTGAGGCCTCAAGGGATGTTTAAAGAGTCCACAGATGGTGTTAATATACTGCCAAGATTCAGAACCACTCTTCAGTATTTTTTACACCCTTTGTGTTTATTTTAAATTAATTTGGCACAAATGACAGATATGAGTGTAGGTGTCATTTTATCAAGTAAAGCACAATTTGTCAACATGAGAATAAATGAACTTCTATATGATTAATGCACTGTTTACCCCTTCTGAGAATGAGAATTTTTTTTCCAATGGATACCCCCATTTCAGATTTGTAAAAATTTTAAGGCATACTTTATGTCAGAAATAGACATGTCTCTCAAATATTCTTCATATCAACTATGGGAAGTAACTGACGAGACCCAAAGAGGTGAAGTTGTTAGCGTTTACCACATTTTTAAGATGCAGGTTCTCGTTCTGTTGCTCAGGCTGTGCAGTGGAAATCATAGCTCACTGTAACCTTGAACTCCTAGGATTAAGAAATCCTCCTGTCTCAGCCTCTCCAGTAGCTAGGATTACATATGTGAATCACCACACCTGGCTAATTTTATTTATTTTTTTTGTAGTGATGGTGTCTTGCTTTGTTGCCCACGCTGTTCTTGAACGCTTGACCTCAAGTGATTCTCCTACTGCAGCCTCCCAAGATGTTGAGATTATAGATATGAGGCACCACACCCTGCCTACCATACAATGTTAAAATAACAACTCCAATATGTAAAATCATATCCTAGAACCCAAAACTTGTGCTATTTCCGGTTATCTTATGCTGCATCCTAACTCTGTAAACACTCCTCCCCATTGACTCTTAAACTGTGTAAATTTTGCATGTTGACATGCTTAATTCACATATACTAGAATAAAATATTTTTGTTTTAAAATCTCAAGTAGACATTACTGCATTTCTAGAAAAATGTTTAAAAAGCGAAGTCATATTAGTAATTTATTATATAAAGATATATTGGGAATTACAATGTTCAAAATATTACAAGATAATTTATTCAATATTTTATGCAAAAAACAAAGAAATAGAATGACAAATATTTACTATCCAGTAAATTCAAAATTAAGTGAATATTTATTTTTTTGCATTTTGTTTTCAGCTGTTCATTTATATGTACTTCTGTGCATCCATGTACTTCTTAAGCAAATATTAACTGAGCAGTTGTTATATGCTACACCCTGTGATATGTATAGAGGTTACAAAGAGCAATAACCTCAAGGCTCTGAAAATCTAGTTGCACATATGTTATACACAAAATCTTAGCTTTTAATTGTTTTACTTGAAATTGTTTTCTAAATTATTTCATATATTTGTAAATACAGTGGCTAATGATTATTTTCAACTATACATTTTTCTATTTTATTCATATATAACTATATAAGGATATCCTCAAGCAAATGTTAAAATTTAAAAAAATTTAAATTTAAACTCACACAGATTTATGGGTTTACTCAGAACTACCTAGAATATTTAAGCAATCTATTTTCCAATTATTATTCTCAGTTCTATTTTTTAATAGAATGTATTACTTCCCCTACTTCTTAGTAATATTTTGGTGTAGAAAAGCCAAGAGAGTTTTCTGTCATCTCCTTTCTTTTCACATGTCACACTGTCACTCAAAACAATGAAAAACAATGGCAGGAAAAGAAGAAAGAGGAGAAAAACCATTTAAAAAGGAGATACAGATACAGAAGAAAGGGAGAGAGGGAGGGAGAGAGGGAGGGAGAGAAGGAGGGAGAGAGGGAGGGAGAGAGGGAGGGAGGGAGAGAGGGAGGGAGGGAGAGAGGGAGGGAGAGAAGGAGAGAGGAAGGAAAGAAGGAAAAAGAGAGAATGTGACAATAAAGTGTGGGAAGAAGACAGGGAGGAAGGTAAGAAGGAAGAAAAAGAGAAAGGAAATACCACAGAGAATTATGCAAAAATTTAAAAATCCAAGGACTATGTAATCTAAAATAAACCTCATAATTTATAAAGAAGTTATCAAATGAGGGTTAAAATTTATGCCAAATTTCCAAATTTAAGACTAAGAGTCTCAGCTCAAGACCTCTCTTCTGATCTCTTGATGTTCCATGGACTCATGTCTTCTTTCCATAGTGACTATTTTCATGAGCCTTTTAAATGATAAGAAAAATTGATTTTCTCTCATCAATTGTTTTCAGAATCTTTCCTCCATTACTGAAGTAATCCAAGGAAAATTGTCTGTAACTTAAATGCCTTCAAGTTAGGTATAAATAAACTATCAATAGCGCATTACAAGGAAGAGAAATAAGAGGTATTGAGCACCATAAATTAAATATTTAGAGATACATAGAGAGAATAATATAGCCTTGTATTTATTCCTGAGTAAATGGTTATAAACTTAGATTTCTATCTTTCATGGAAACATGGACTCTGTAAACGAATCAAGAGCTAGCGAGAAAACAGAAACATATTTGGAGCATAAGTTTTGCTACTGGGGGATAAGTTAATAACCAATAACTGCTTTTGATTTTTATATGCAACGAAGTCTAAATATGACTGTCCTGCATTAAATAATCTGAAAAATACAATTCAGAAAGTTCCCTAGAAACCTTGGTCTATTCAACCAGAAACATGTGCTGTTTAAATTTGAGCTTTCAATTTTGTCTAATCCATAATTATTAGTTCAAAATTTTAACCTAATTATTTTTCTATTTGATCATTATATATCTTGTATTACAGTAATCAATTTCCAATTAGAAAAAGTAAATAATACATTGAATTAATGTAAAGAGTAAACAGTAGTGGCTTTCTGATGTAAGCTTAATAATCTCTACCTCACTCATATATCTTGACAAATTCCCTATCTTAAAAAATATGAATCAGGTCAATTTTGTTCCAAAGTTCTACAAATTTCTATAATCACCCAATTTCACACTATATAGTCATTTACTATTTATTTTAATGATTTCATTTTATTTCTATGAACATATGGCCAATTTTATCTTTATGAATGATCAGTTTTTTCTATCATGTCACCATCTCTGCTTAGAACATGTCTGCCACATTTTAGCCACTTAATAAATATTTACTGAATGAATATATGAATTGACATCCTTAAAGTTGCCTTTCATTTACTTCAATAACCCATTCATTCATGAGAAAAATATTGAAATGAAGACCTATTCAGATTTGTGGTTAAAAAACTTAAGAGCAGATTACATGTATATGTACGTAATACATATACATATATAATTATATATGTATGTAGACATAGATATAAGAATATAACCCAGACTACAGGACTTGATAAAAAGGTTGAATACTTTTTAAAAATTCTGATTGCTATAGACTAAATCATGTCCTTTATTGTTAAATGCTATTTAAAGATAAAATTATAGAATCTTCAGGCTATGATACATCTTTAGAGTTTTCATACAAAATACAGGAAGCTGTTAAATTTGAATTTCAGATTAACAAATTTTTGTAATGTATACATTCATAATGAAAATTGCATAACTCTGTGTCCCAAAGATTTAATGGGACATTCTTACACTACAAATAAGGCTGTTTTACTGAAATTCAAATTTAACTGCGAGTCATTGATGGGGAAAACATTGATAATATGATCTGATGAGTGCCAAGATTATGTCTAGGTGCTACATAAGAGCAGATTACAAGCACTTTGGATGCATTCACAAAACACAAATTTAAGATCTCGAGGTCAAATGTTAGAAAGCTACAATACAGTACGCAGTTACATATACTGAAAGTCAAAAATATATAACTGGCATAGAAGAGTGGGATTATAGTGGAGGGCCGTGGCAAAACTCTTTCAGGTGTTTCGAAAAAGCCCTTTTTCCTCTTTAAGCTGAATTGTGAAATCAAAGAGCCTACATCCTGTGGTAACTAATTACAGTAGATATCAAAGAAACATCATCAAAAAGCAACACCCAGACTAATACAATGTAGCCATTGATGAAGATTTTAAAATGCATGAAAACATCAGTAGATGAAGCCTCCGGCAGTTTCTGTGAAATTTTGAAACAAATTTTGATGAAAGTTACCCTAATAATATTTGAGTATCTAAGAAGAGCAACGCAGCCTTACCCATCTCAGTATTTCTAACACTTAGCACAATGCCTGATACTGAGTTAGCATGTAATAATATTTTTAGAGTAAGTGAATGAAAAACTTCTCAATCCCTTATTCTTTATCCTCTCTGCTTTAGGTTCATTTTGTCTAATGGTTGGTCTACTGGGGATTATCTCAGTTAAGAGTCAAACTTACAGGGACTGTGGAAAATAACTAAGTCGTAGAGCTTCCTTCAAGGAAGAAATGCAACCAGAATCTCTGCTCACGGTAGGCAAAACAGGGTGGCAAAGTTATACTGTGTTCGAATGGGCATCACCATCTCTGAGAAGCAGCCTGGTAATACACAACAATGGCATCGAGGTGGCTGATGATCCCTAAAGTCAGAAAAATGGAAGCATTCTAGTGCGTGACCTTCCAGGGCCCTAAAGAGTTGCAAACACCTGTTTTCCCCTAGTGGAAATGATCAGGTCCACGTTATGCCATTTTCATTATGAGAAAGATTTGCTGAGATTCATAATAACATTCAACCCTAGCAAGAAATGGCAGTGTGTATAGTATATGGTTAGTGTGACATAAAGGTGTAGGAAAAAGAAGTTATGTAATGAGTGAGATGTATCTGACAACAGGACAGATTTATTTTAGGATGAATAATGGTCCTAAATAGAAAGAAAGAAAGAAAGAAAGAAAGAAAGAAAGAAAGAAAGAGAGAGAGAGAGAGAGAGAGAGAGAGAGAGAGAAAGGAAAGAAGGAAGGAAGGAAGGAAGGAAGGAAGGAAGGAAGGAAGGAAGGAAGGAGAGAAAGAGAGAAAGAGAAAGAGAGAAAGAAGGAAGGAAGGAAAGGAAGGAAGGAAGGAAGGAAGGAAGGAAGGAAGGAAGGAAGGAAGGAAGGGAGGGAGGGAGGGAGGGAGGGAGGGAGGGAGGGAGGGAGAAAGAAAGAAAGAGAGAAAGAGAGAGAGAAAAAGAAAGAGAAAGAAGGGCCGGGCGCGGTGGCTCAAGCCTGTAATCCCAGCACTTTGGGAGGCCGAGACGGGCGGATCACGAGGTCAGGAGATCGAGACCATCCTGGCTGACATGGTGAAACCCCGTCTCTACTTTAAAAATACAAAAAACTAGCCGGGCGAGGTGGCGGGCGCCTATAGTCCCAGCTACTCGGGAGGCTGAGGCAGGAGAATGGCGTGAACCCGGGAGGCGGAGCTTGCAGTGAGCTGAGATCCGGCCACTGCACTCCAGCCTGGGCGGCAGAGCTAGACTCTGTCTCAACAAAAAAAAAAAAAAAAAAAAAAAAAAAAAAAAAAAAGAAAGAGAAAGAAGGAAAGGAGGAGGAAAGGAGGAGGAAAGAAGGAAAGAAGGAAGGGCCACCTCCATAAAAATTCAAAAGAAAATTTAAAGTTATATTTTAAAAAGCTCCAAAAAGTGCTACAATATTTTGATTTATCCCCATGATAGATGCTTCAATATTTATTTTCAAATAGCAAGTATAAAACAGAAAATCTTTTTTAAGTAGTGCATGTTTTCCATACTCCTGCAATGCTTGTGATTAGTTTGCCTTTTAAGTAGCCCAGTGGTAGGTCTAAGATGCCAAAACTAATTCTAGCCAGTCCCTTCCTACTGCTGAACCCAGGATAAAATTGTGACACCTCCATTGGTAACATATGATTCTGTGATAGGTAATTCCATTCAATAGTCAACAGAGGCAGTCACATAGGATATACCTGTGTACTGACTGTGGATGTTTTGCCACTATGTCCTTAATGAATTTTAAAATTGTATTTACTCATTGTGAATATATTATAAATGCACATGATATACCATATAAAATACATAATACATTAATGAG